TACTGTTTCTGTTTTTGTTACGGTTGTATTACTACTTGTTCCGGTGCTCTTGCCTGTATCTGCTGTTTTATTACCTGATGCAGTTTGTTGTGCTGTTGCTGTTTTTGTTACGGTTGTATTGCTACTTTGTCCGGTGCTCTTGCCTGTATCTACTGTTTTACCGCCGGATGCTGATTGTTGTACTGTTTCTGTTTTTGTTACGGTTGTATTACTACTTGTTCCGGTGCTCTTGCCTGTATCTGCTGTTTTATTACCTGATGCAGTTTGTTGTGCTGTTGCTGTTTTTGTTACGGTTGTATTGCTACTTGTTCCGGACTGTGTTCCAGACGCTTTTGTTCCGCTGGCGGATGCCGATGAGGTTTGTGCAGACTGGACAGCTACTTTGTTTGTGTTAACATTGACAGTGGTTGTTTTGGCTGGTACAGTTGCTGGTACTTTGACATTCTTATTGGCCGACGTAAAATATTGAGTTAATATGGTATACCACACTTGTGTTATCGATGAACGCCATGAAGCTCGAAGAGTATCGGTCGTGATTGAGGTTGTTAAAGTGATTTTTAGTGAAATAACCCATTTAGTGCCACTAGCTGTTTTTGACACAACCACAACGTCAGATACTTGATTTGGATATATTTTTAATAAACCAGTTTTCCATACGCTGGCTATGGCATTTAAATACGCTTGATCAGTTGCGAAACGCCCCGTTGTCATTCCATCTGTCCATGATTGATTCGTGGTGATAATCGCGATAGAGAACGTTTTATTATCACCCATATCAAAATTCATCGTTGTATCATTGCAACCAGCTGCATATTGGTCAGCTTTGGTCGACACCTGACTGGTACGATCGCTAATACCTGAAACAATTAGTATCTATTGAAGAACGTCATATCCTGACCCAAGAAATCTTAAAGTAGACCAAAGTAACTTCAAGTCTTTAATACCTGAATTATTACTTGCTCGGAAAGCTTGAACAGCGCAGTTTGATTAAATTTAGTGGTATCAGCGACAGAATCACCGAAATTTTGCGGCGCATCTTACAGGCCATCATTGTAAAAAATAATTTAGATGGCGATTCACTTCAATTATCTGTTAGACGTGACTATCGTTCAAAGTTTTTAGAATTCAGTTCCAAAGTTTTTAGAATTCAGTTCCAAAGTTTGAATGATCAACTGACGCAAAGTATTTTCACTCATACAATCAGCTAATGAATCTTACTATCTTACTGCTCATATTATAGAGAATCGTAATATTTACGATTTCTATTATAATTTTTTTACCTGCTGCAATAGCTGAGGTTGCTTGTTGTGTATTAACGTTCGTAGTTTTTGTTGTATTTTGGGTTGTACCACTTGATGATGTCGTTGTCTGTGTGTAATTACAAGCGAATGTTATTAAATACGAAACGGACACCGAGTTAGTCGTATTTTTTATTTCAATATCGATAGAACGTACGTATTCACCATAGTTATCCATCACTAATTGGGTTATTTGATCTTTTGTCAAATTACAATAATCTTCGACGATCAATTTACTAATTGCAAGTTCAGTTTGATTCAATTCAGTATCAATATTAAGTTGAGTACAATTTGTACTGTTAGTAGCCTGTGCTCCATGACAATATAAACAACCCAGAATAATGATAAGACAAACCGAAAGGATATTATTGTTCAGACGCATTCTGGATAACGATTGTGCACAACACACGCACAAAGACTAGCGAAACAGTTAATGATGTTCTACTTAAAATATGTCCACTGCAGTTTCCTACGGGGTTTATTAAAGTAATTTTATAAATGATGCATATGCGAATAAAAGCCTTTAGAATTTATATCAAAAACTCATTTATTGAAAAGACGTTTTCAAAGTGCATCGGAAAAAAAATAATAAAAAGACTAATGTTTCACTATTCCTATGCATGCATGTCTCTTATTTATTCAACAATATCTTTAGGTGTCCATCTGTTGATCACTACTTCAAATCAATCGCAAAAATATTTCTTTTCTTTAGCCATATTAATATTCATCACTTGAATATTGTTGAAAAAAGTGTGGAAAATACTGTTGCTCTTCTCTTTATATACTTTGTTCTGATAAAAAGTTATAGAAGAAGATATATCGACGTGCCCACGAAGTGATCTCAAAAACTAGAACACGTTTCTATGTTCCATAAGGACAAAATATAATTATTTATCTTGTTTTTCTAATCTTCTAGCTGATTTCAACCAAATATCGACTATTCTCATTTAAAGTGGAATAAGCAGATAAGATCTCGAGATTCATTTTTTCTATTGCTATTAGACATCTAATATAGCCGTTACAAATCTATCCTTTTTTTTTTACTCAACTTTTCTGCAAGTGATAATAAAAAATCACTGTCACATCAGACAAAATGACGTTGATGAATTCTAATACAGTGTGACCGACAAAACGAGTCTAGACAAGCTAACAGTATATGTCGGGAAGAGTCCATTCGAATCCTGAATTTTGATAAAATCCTTTCGTTTAGTAATTGATTTTCACAAGCGACAACTTAGTACAAAGTCTATAGTTGATTCAATTAATATAATTTATAGTATCAGATTTGTTTAATTATGTTAAACATTAGAATTCATTGTTTTCGCTAGTACGAAGTCAGATGAATTTTAGAAAACAAGATATTATGATTATTTTCACTTCGTATGTTTATATATATCTTGTTTTCTAAAATATGTTAAAGATGTCAAAAGGATGTGAAATGTGCCATTTCAGACACTCTAAGAAATGACATAGCTAACCATCAACATAAAGTATTGTCACGCATCGTAGATAATCTTGAATTGACTTCCTCAGTACGTAGCGAAAATTATGCTTAGGGATAGCCTTGAAGAGTAACAATTAGAGTTGCTAGATGGTCTGCATTTTGCGGACAAATTCCGTTTTTTCCGAATTTTTTTCGCAATTTGTCCGCATTTTAAGCATCTTCTGTTTTTGCTGTTTTTCGCCTGAGTTAAAAAATTCGTTTAAACTCATCGTTATCATGCGGTAAAATTTATAATTATTTTTATCAATGTCAGAACTGCTTAAACTTATTCATTCTAATCAAGAATATACAGCCAAAAAACAATGTGTCAATTAAAATTATTTTATTGAGTAAAACCACAAAGTGCTAGAACAAACACTTTTTGGACTGTCTGCACATAAAAAAAGGATGAAGTTAGACCATGAAAATGCGTTTCCGTTTTCTTTTACGCATTCTGACAAAATTTTCCGCATTTTGGAATTTTCATTCCGCATTTCTGAACCTGAGCATCTGGCAACTCTGGTAGCAATAGTATAGCAGATGAAACTAGACAAGATTAGACAAAATTCAAGTAAAAAAACCATTGAAACCCCATACCTTCGATATCAAGTATAAAGGCAACCTATTGCAAAGTTGAATGAAAACAGATCAGGATACTGTCAATGTGTAATGTTCCGAGGCACTCACTACCAGCATGTATTTCAAGGCATATTCCCCGTGCTATCTCACAAAACATTTGTAAACAGAAGTTTCCATCTACAGGACGCAATCCTAAAGCAGAAATCTAAATATG